GTTGGAATTTGTTTGTCAAAAGATGCTTCATGTTTGCTGTTTTTATAGAACAAAGAGGAGTCGAGTTTGGGTTGTTGTCAGATTTCATTTTCTTGTTTAGGAAAGTCGATATAAGATTTTTAAAAAATGCTATTAAGGAGTTGTGAAGAGTGTTCATAATATTGAGACAGTTCTTCAAAATTGTTGGGTTTAACTTCTTTTCTTTTTTTGATTGTTTTGCTTCTTTTAAATAGATGCAATTAGTATCTATACAGAAAAGGATATGATGATTAGTGTGTTTGATTGCTTTGTCATGACGTTCCTGTAAGTTGTTAGGTTTTGTGAAACTAAGTTTGGTAGGCATAATTTCTTTGAGATGAAAAATAAATTTTTTGTTGGAATTGATATTTAAGTGCATTGAAGACCTTAGTTTCATCTATAGGGTTGGTAAATTGATGATTGTATAATAGGAAAAATTGTTTAAACTACTGTTTGAAGTGGTCAAGTAATTTTTAAGAGATGTGATATTGAGTTTTTGTAAGAAAAGTGTTTTGGGAATATTAAATTTAAAATAAATATTAAATTTATTATTAGAGCTGATTGTAAGATATTGTTTTTTTTTATCGAAGTTAACTACTTCAGATAAGATTCTAAACCTTTTGGGTCAAAGTTGAATATTTTCAGCAAATTTAATATAATCAATAGCTTGGTAGTTGTTTGTAAGATAAAGATGAAGACATGCAAAGTTAATGCAAAATTGTAATCAGTTTAGACTTGTATAAGGAGGGATTGTTACAGATGAAGCAAATATTTTTGGGTAGTTATGTTTTATGAAGAATACAGTAGTAAATATAAGGATTAATTTTTTTAAAGTTTCTTCAAGTATATCGAAAGAAATTGTTATAGCTTTGCCAGTGTTTAGATTGTTTTTTTGGATAAAATCAACTAGAAATTGGGGTCTTTCTCCTGCCATTTTGTGAATTATATGGTAGAAGCTAGCTTTAAGAACTGGTCGGTCACCAATTTTAGGTTTAATTTCAATTTCAGGTTTAAAGTTAAATAGGTGTTGTTTAAGGAAATTAAAGATTTTTTTTGCAAAATCTGTTTGCAGTTGTGATTTATCTTTCATTTCTTCAGTTACAGGAAAGTTGACAAGCCAGTCAAATGTTGGGTTGGCTTTGGTTTTTTGTTGGTTGTTGTTAATATTTGGTTTTGTTTCCTGTTGTTGTTGTTTGTCTGGTTGTTGTTGTTGTTTGTCTGTTGTTGTTGTTGTTTGTCTGGTTGTTGTTGTTGTTATTATAATTGTTTGTTCGAGTTTGGTGATTGTTGATTATTAATTTTAATTGTATTGTTATCCAAGTTCATAACATTTTGGTTGCTAGTATTGCTTGCAGGTGATGTTGTGAAAGTAAGTTCAGATGCAAGTGGGTTATAAGAACTGATCATTTGTTGAAGTTTTTGGATGAATGTAGGAGAGAAACTTGATTATTGAGTAGGTTGTTGAGTATATGTACATGTTTTGTAATAGGGTTTGTCATTATATAAGATTATGTCTGCTATCAGATAATGTTGATTTTTCATTTCTTTGCAGGCAATAGGCGAGTTGTATTTACTACATAAGTGATTGTGTGTAGTAGAAGAGGGTGATGCTGTAGGTGATGGTGAGATAAATTCAGTAGAATTTACGATGTTGTTTGCTAAAGATTTTTTATCTTTAGATTTTTTGTTAATAGAAATAGTTTCGTGTTGTTTGTAGGTTTGGTTGGAGGTTAAGATGAAATGGGTATGGAACTTAGTACAAAAGCATTTAACGATAGAACTAGATTCAGGTACCTTAAAGTAATGACAACTTTTAGTTCCTTCTCTAAGTTCTGTAGTTGTACAATTATTTGGTTGCTTGTTTGCATGAATGGGATGTGATGTATTAGCTGCATCTTCAAGAATACCAATACCAAAGCTTTTAGGACACTTTTGATAGAAATAGTCAAGGTCGATAGTATCAGGTGCAACTGAAATTAAGGTTGGCATTTTTTTCTAAAAATAGATTTTTAAGTATGTTTTCTGAAAAAATTTGTTTAATTTAGAGGTTTTCAGACTAATTAGGAAAGTTTGAAAAAAAGTTTAAGCTTCAGGTAAGCTGATTGGGTGTTTAGGAAATTCTAATGGGTACCAGAAAAGTGAAATTTCTGGGGCACTCCTGCAAATTTTCCTAAAATGTAAATGAAAAAATCTGCAAAGAACAAGTTTTTGTTTTTGCTTTTCACTTGTATCTCTATGAGTTTTGGTCTGTTTTGGACAATCTATATATCAAAATGTCTGACTCAGTGAGCTGAACAACTTTGTATAGGCAATATAATGGATTTAGTTAATAAAATATTAAGTAAATAGACAAAAACCAAAAATATGGTTTTTGAAACTTTTTCTGACACCCAAGTGTTATTAGAACTTGAAACATAACCGCCAGGAAGTAGAAAGTGTGCTGAACAACTTTACTTAAGAGGTCAAGTAAGGTTTACTTAGTAGAATATTGAGAAATAATTAAATATTTTTTTGTGTTTTTGGTATAAGTGATCTACAGAAAGAGTTGCTTGTCTATTCCAATTATAGTTACTTAAATAGTTTTTAATATAATATATTTTATAAAATAATATAAATCTTTTATTGATAATATATTTAATAGTAAACAGCATATCAAAATACAGTTTTAGAATTATATGATTTTAATTCATTACAATTATTAAAAATCTCTATTTAGTATTTGAACTCATAAAAGTTACTATATTCAATAACTCTTTGTTTAAAGAAGTTTACCCTTGTGTATATTATGATATAGTTCATGTACTTGAATGGGGTTTTCTTGATCTTTTCATTATTAAATCTTTTAAAATTCAACATCATTTCTTCAAGATAGTCTATATATTCACAAACCATTTATAAGGTGAACCCATTAACATTGTTATCTCTATACTTTAAGATTCATGAGGTCCATATATCCTTCACAAGAAAGACTAGATCACTGCAGATTTTTCTTGCTCGAGGTTCAGTAACATTACCAAAAAGTTTGTAGATGTATGAATGGCCACAAACATCATGCTTTCTTTGATGCCAACCCAATAGTTTTCAAAAACTGTTCCTGATAATAAACAAAATAATTTTTTGATAACTGATAATTTATTATATGATGCCTTGTAAACTTTTGTTTGATTGGCTAATGCGAGTCATTTGCCTATACTGTATATTAAATGTTTCACGATATATTGATGAGATGCTAGATAAGTTCTCGCTTGTATGTTACTTGACCTATTTGTTAACTACTATATTTGTTTTCATTCCTGCTTTCTAGCGTGACTACGTGCGCAGCTACCTTATTTTATATGTTACACACAGGGTAAAGGATCAGTCATGTAACATCGATGGTTCCTCCTGTTAATTTTATCTTATTATGTTTTATTACCTTCTAGAGTTTGAGGAAACCATGCCTAAAATAGATCATACTATACAATTTATTAGAGTTATAATCTAAATACATTAAAGTTCTTGTATAAAAACGTACAATATTATAGTATCTAATTTGTAATAATAATCATGAAATCTACTTTTGCAATTTAAAAAATTTAAATGTTTTTTCAAACATAAAATGTTTCAAATTTTCCACTTTCTATACATATTTTTCTCAATTCTGAATTAGGATTTTGTAGAAGAGTATATGGATCATCAAACTCAACTATATTTCCATCGTCTGTTTCATTCATAAAACAAATTTAGCATATAAATAACCAAAGGAAATTAAAAAAATAAAATAAAAATAAAGAAAATGTAATACCTAATAATAAAATTTTATCATAATCCATAATAGTTTCTATACGATGCGTAATATATAAAAGAGTTGAATCTTTGAACTCTTTATGTATTGTATCTTTAATTTTGTGGCATACAACATCATCTATACCAGCAGTTAGTTCATCCATAATAACCACTTTAGATTTATAAAGAATCGCTCTTGCAAGTGCAATTTGTTGCCGTTGGCTTTGACTGAAATTGTTTCCACCCACATTAACAATTGTGTTGGGTGTTAATAAACTATCATTTTCAATTAAATGGGCCTTCCGAAGTGCATCGTAAATTTTATTCGTCTTGACATTCTTGCCATAGCATAAATTGTCACTAATAAATGAAGATAAAATAATATTTACTATAATGTATTGACATTTAAAAACTTTTTCAATTTCAAATCATAAATGATAAATAGTAAAACTTTTTTCATTGTAAATCAGCTGCATTCAAACATTATAGAAAACTTGTTAGAATTCCATATTTCTTTTTAGTCCGATGGATCTCATTTTTGACAACCATTTTACTGACAATTAATTCATAGTTAATTTTAAAGTTGAATTGATTAGAATTAAAAATCGGTGAAATAGCTGTTAGTGAAATGGGATGAATCCTTTTTTTTTAGTTCATATTATTTTATTGACAAGCCATCTAACTGACATTATATAACATGATTATTTACACATTAAATTGTACCCTATGTTATATCAGTTAAATGACTGGTTGGTGGAATGATTGTCGGGTGCGATTGTTATCAGTTTTTAACAGTCCATAAACAGTAAATTTGGAAGCTGATAAATCAGATCTTTCTTGATATGCGAATAACACATCAGATAATCACATAATGTAAGTTTGTGAGAATCGAATTTAAGTGGATTTAGAGTTTAAAATTTGAGGGTTTATATAGAAATTCCAATCTTTATTAAGGACTTCCAAATCCACTCAAGTTCCACTCTCTTTTACAATATGTAGAAACAAAATATATGGATTAAATTATCAATCTTGCCTTAATGAGCCCTTAAAAAGTAATGGATTTTGAGGTATCATAGAAATTTTACGTCTCAAAGCAAATACGTCAACTTTTGAAATATCGATTCCATCAATAATTATCTGTCCATGGTTTATATTTAGTCTTATAAATGATCTAGCTAGAGTGGACTTTCCAGATCCTAGAAAAAAAAAGTTAAATTTAAAGGTTTCATTTAAGTTAGCACCTGTCTAAAGTTGCAACTTTAGGCAACTAAATTACAGTAATGTCTGCCTACTAATGCGTGCATGATCTAATGTTAGTGGCTAATTTTCAGCCAAGTTCAACATCAGTTGCTTAAAGTTGTCATTTTAGGCAGGTGTTAACTTTGGGTCGATATATACGTATATTATAAATAAACAACAAATTTACCAGTTCTTCCAATAATTCCAATCTTTTCTCCAGGACATACGTGAAAGGAAATATTTTTTATTACAGAAGGATCATTATTCGAGTATTGTACTCCGAGGTTTTTGACTTGAATATCACCCGAATGAGGCCATTCATTTAATAAAGGACTAAGTCCATCAATTATCCTTTGTTCTACTTCTAGTGATAAATACTCATGAACTCTCTCCACTAAATAAATTAAAGATTAAAACATAAAAATTAAAAAAATACCTAACACCAATATTAGTATAAAATGCTAAAATTACCAGAGTTCATATTCATTTCCATGACTGAATAAGTGGTAATAGCATCGACAATATTTCTACTGAAACTCAATACGCATGTAAGAATTAATCCCGCTAACCCAGGTTCCATTCCTTTTGAAAGATTAAATATAATAATAAATCCAACAGCGAGGCTAAATAAACCTCCTACTACATTAGTGTGAGTATGTAACCATTGATTACATGCCCAGTTTAATAAGCACGGTTGATTATTGATATCTATAAGATCCCACATTTTTTCTTTTAATCGTTCTTCTACGCCAAATGTTCGGATTGTTGATATACCTGAAATAGTCTATTAAATGAGAAGAATATAAGTAACAATGAAAGATTGAAATATCCAAATTAATACAGTAATATGAGGGAATAAGGAATTTACATTGTCAAATGCTGAATAGATAGGAGATCTAGTAACTGATTCTAAGCCTAAATAAACAACTTTTATAAATTATAGTAACTTTAAGGTTAGACATTGAAAGAACAAGAATCAAATTACTGACGTTTTAAATATCGAGACGTAGATATATATGATATGCCAATTATGGCATACAATATCGATACGACAACAAAAATGCCGGCAATTAAAAATTTAAATCTTATATCGATATCGATATTAAGTATAGCAGATATCACTAATGCACCGGCAGACATGAGCGAATAAATAAAGGAAGTGACATTAAGTGATAAAATTTGATCAATAATTTCCATGTCTTTCGAAAACCGATTCAGGATTCTACCTATAAATGATAATGAAAGTCAACAATTACATGAATTTTATTGATTATTGCAAATAAAATTTTTATTACCTGTTGGAGTCGTATCGTAAAATCTAATTGTTGTATTTAAAATTTTTTCCAACATAGAGTTATGCAACTCTTTGGATGCTATTAAAGATCCAAAGAATATAAAATATGTTTTAAAAGACTTTAATGAAATGGCTACCAACGTGACCAATGCGTAAGCCCAGAAATAATAATCAACGTTATCGAATTCATATGACATGGGAAGAAATAAGGTTTGAGTAAGGACAAAATTTCTCGCAATGAGATTAAAGCTTTCGGTCAAGGGAGAAAGGACTTCAATATGAGAAACTGCTTGATTCACTTTATTATGTGTTTTATGAGCATCAACCCAACTTTTAATCAAAAAATCTAAAGAAATTTGTGAAACAAATTATAATATTTAGTATCATATTGATCATCGAATATAAAATGCGAATTATACAAAATTAATGACCTTGCTTCGTTTGGATATACCACGTTGCCAAAATAAAAATGCTTATTAAAAGCAAAACCATTTTTGATTTAATCATATAAATAGTATAGATCCACCAGTTTACCATCCCTTCGGCTTGTATTTCCTCTGTGATCAATCTATTACCATCTTGAGATCCGGCAATATTTTTACAGGTTTCCTTTGCAATACGTTCAACGTTTTCGTGTTCTGAAAGGTTTTTGATTGAATATTCTATTTTATCTACCCTACCGTCTTTTAGGTAAATCGTCATATCAGCATCATGCAAAAAGTCTTTATTATGTGTAACAAGAATTATTGTTCTATTGTTTGTCAGCTCGTTAGTCAAAATTTGTTTGTATATGGATTTTGTAATATGTAAGTCTACAGCTAATAAAATACGCACATTATCAATATTAGAATGTTTATATAAAATGCATTGTCATGTATTATATAAATTTACCAGATAGAAAATCATCTATGATCAAAACTTCATGTTTAGAATAGATAGCTCTCGCTAAAGCAACACCTAAAGTAAAAGATAATTACTAACTTAGATATAGTAATAAAGTTGTGTATTATTGTATGTGCTTACGTTGTTTTTGACCGTTACTAAGTACGATACCATTTTCACCAATTTCAGTTTTATCTTTAGATATGAACACTTTTAAATCATCCTCAAGTTTACACATGGCTATAACCTTAAAATATCTTTCGGGTTCGTAATCCTGACCGAATAGTATGTTGTCTCTAATAGTCCCATTCTGAAGCCATACTAAAAAAGAAAAAAAATAATAATTTGTTGTACGTTAGAATGAGATCCAGATTCACTGACAGTTACTTCATTTCATCTATTTTTTACTACTGTCAATGCTATTCATGTAGCACGAAAATTCAAGAAACTAATATCCTTTTATTTCGTATAAAAGTACTATAGTACTATTGTCATTTGTAGAATCCACACAATACGCTATTTCGCCAAACATTACAAATGAAATTTGCAGTAATCCTTTTTAAATCATCTATTCCGCTACTAAATTAGAGACTATAAGAGTTGGGATATTTGAAATTATAACTTCATATTTAACGTTCTTCCACATAATCAAAACGTTCAGTATTAAACTAAATCACGTGATTGTGAATCATCCAATAATAATAGCGATGTAAGATAAAATTGTACACTCCAAAAAGAAAGAACGTTAAGAGAAATTCTGACATCTAGTAATTATGTATCTATAGGCATGTATCTATGAGGCATCTTACATATATGTCAAAATACTTGCAGCATTAATGTCGCATGGACTAAACTGAACGATGGTAGTGATATTTATAAGTTATAAGCAGCCTCCGGCGCCACAATGAGTCAATTAATTGCAATTGTGAGTGTGATAAATCTTTTGTGTGATGAATAAAGATTAACTAATTTAATTAATTAGTAAATTCTTATTTGTCACATATAGTACAAAGATTCATCACACTCACACAGCTTATGGCAATTATTCTTGTCACTAATTGGTTACGATAACAATTATAACCAATTATAATTGGTTGCAATTAATTTTTTGGTACCCTTATCTACAAGTTATTATCTTTTATGTGAGCAACATAATAACCAGCATAGCAAAAACGTGGCTTGTAAAATTTTGACTATATGCTGCGCACATTTAGCATTAGGACAACTAATGTATCAAAATAGAAGTTTTGTATAACATCTTTCTAAAAAGGTTTGTCGTTTATTACGTATCGTACACACAAGTACCTAAATACAGGGAACTGTAAAAATTGGATTTTATTTATTTATTTTGAAATTCATATAAATAAAATCCAAAATTTTATTAAAAGATTAAACACTATTAAGTGATAAAATCAATAGTCATTTCACTATTCATGCAGTCAATGCAGTCTAATTGCGTAAAAATTTTTGCTTTTAATTATCAAAAATGGTTTTTATAATTTAAATGCATGTACTGTCTATATGCATAAAAAATCTTTGATGGATAGCACGCAATTAGACAGTATTGACTGTATAGAGGTGATGGATAGCACGCAATTAGACAGTATTGACTGTATAGAGGTGATGGATAGCACGCAACTAGACAGTATTGACTGTATAGAGGTGATGGATAACCAAAAAATTACGTAATAAGCAACATTTTCCCTTAAGATGTTCCTGTATTCTGTGATAGAGATGTAATTTTTTATTTTTATCTCTAATTCAGAACTTTTGTTCCTAAGTTGAAATTTTGATTTTGCCTGTAATATATAGATTTAAAGAATAAAAATTACCTGTTTGGGCAACATAAGCAATATTACCTAACCGCGGTTTAAACACATGACCATCGGAACATTTAACATCTAATGCCAATAGTGCTTTCAACAAACAAGTTTTTCCACATCCAGAAGGACCAAATATAAGCGATAATTTTCCAGGAAGAAAATGAATATTCAAATTATTCAAAGCGAATTGATTTGAACCTTTATTTGTCCATTGTAAAGTAGCGTCTTCAAACCCAATACAATTATTGCTATTCAAAATGACACCATTATTCTCGAGAATTTTGGTGTAAATTTCAGATTCTTTTAAAAACTCTTCGATTCGAGATATTGAAACTAATGCTGTAAAATTCATAAAATGATAAATTGTTTTATAAACTGGGATGTTATATTTTATTCAAAATATTTACCTTGAGTAATACTAATAATAATTGCTGGCGTTTCATTAAGAACATGAAGGAGATTTTTAAACAAAATGATAGCCGTAAAGGCTAGACTAGAAGTCAATTCCTGTTTTGATAGATAGAAATTTCTATTAAATTTTATAAATCAATACAAAAAATAATATTTAAACAATAGAAATATAATACTAACTTTCCCTAATATTTTGCTGTACATGAAGAATGAAAATAACATCATCAAAAAAGTAAGGATTTCCCATGACATTCTTATAGACATCCTAATGAACATATAATTGTTGAGCTCTCTCAGTTCAATATCCCGAGCAGCAACAACTTTACTACGAAAGTAATCTTCCATCGCATAAATTTTAACAGTGCGAATAATTTGAAGTAACTGTTGACAAAAAAAAAATAACTTTTCCAATTGTTTGAAAAAATAACCAATTATTTTGATTCTAAATTATAGTTTAACTTACCTCGTCTAATACACCTACTCGCTTGTCAGTTGCGGCCATTAGACACTTATGCATATTTCTAACTGTCTATAATTATATTTTGTAATTGTCAGTTAATGAAAAAAACATCATTTCGTAAAAATAATATGATATACCTGAATGATTAATAATATGAATGGACACATTATTATAAACGTGATCCCAATTATTATGATGGATATTCCAAGTAGGGAATACAAGGAATATAAAGAAATAACCATTTGCACGGGCAGACAGTATACTAGAAAAAACAAAAACAATTCATAAGTAGCAGCATATAATTTTAATATAAATAAAAAAAAAAAAAGCATTTACTATAAAAGATGTTTCTTGCTAGTGCCGCAACTTTTTGTGCATCGGAATCTGTGAGGTCTGTAATTTTTCCTGTTTGATTTTTCACCTCAGTGTCCTGACGCAAGGCTGTATGATATACGATACTCATGATTACAGACTGTTTTTAGTTAGATTTTGTTATTATTAATATTAATTATTGTAATATAAAAAATATATAAAATTGAAAACTCTAGCATTCCCCTGAAAATTAAGTTACACAAAGTGAAGAACTTTGAAAAATTTTTAAAACTTCTAATGAAGATTTCAAATCATTACTCAATCAAATTCAGTAAATTTTTCTATAGTCTCGTAGAATTGAAATAAAAATTTTCGTCAAATTTCGGTAGAATGTTATCAAAAAATCAGTTAAAATTCAAACTAATAAAACTTATTTTCTAAGATATTTGATTTTTTTTAACCTTTTACCGATGATTTTTGATAACATTTAGACCAAATTCAATCATTCTTTTCTTTAAATTCTATAAAAGCCCGAGACCAAAATAAAAACTTTTGCCAAAATTAATCGCGTAGTAATTCAGGAATTTTCATTAAAAGTTTTTTAAATAATTAAAATATAGTACTATTTTGGGTAACCTGATCTTGTGTAACTCCTAGCGTTGCCTAAAAAAAACTATGCCGACATACCTTATATTTGATAGATAATTTTTGACCGATATATGATGCTTGCTGAAAACACAATTCCGGGACTACGGTGCCAACGAATAGAAATAAAACATATAAATAACCAATTTCTTGTGACTCCTCGCTCTTATTATAATAATTTTGAATATAATGTAGAACTTCTTTGAGAAAATAGGGCGGTACAAAATAAGCAAGTGACCCGATCATTGCAAAAGTGAATTGAACAAGCAATTCTTTCCAAGAAAAAAAAAACAATGACTTTAGAATCGAGTCACTTATTTTAAATGATTTTAGAATATTTTTAGTTTTAAGAAAACAGGGCAGTTTAAAGATATCATTATCCTTTAGTGTGGAATTAAAAGCTTTTGAGATTAGAGGATTCATCCACAAAAACATTATCCGGCTACAAAGTGAGGCGCTCATTTCTGGCGATGATGTTGGATCCTTATTGGTTAATTAAATTTTGCATTAGTAAAACTAAAAACAGCTTTCAAGATTTTAAGATTTAAAATTTCCTACCTTCAATGCATTATTTGGTTTCTCCAAAATCGCGATGTACATTAAAAAACACAAGAAACAGAAAATCAACAAGACTAAGATGTACTCTGCATTAATGAGCATGTCAATTTTTAAGTCATCCAAGTGGAGATTTTTTATTATATAAAGCATTGAAAGTGGATATAGAACGTTAAGATGACCACGAATATGTAAAAAGTCACATTGCTGCGGATTAGCATTCAAAATCAATGCCAACAATGTTGCGTACATCTATAAAATAAAAATAAATAAATAAATAAATAATTTTTACAGATTAAGTAAAATAAAAACTCACCCAAACAATGAGCCAACAGATACAATAAAGCTCATTTAAGTTTTGAAATATATCGAAGCAAACATGAAGCAGGCAGATTGAAATGGTTAGATTGAGACGAACTTTTGTTTTATCATTATTGTTAAAGTTTACTTTTGCCTTGTGATTACAAGAATTTACTTCTGTCTCATTCTCATTAAACCATTTATTAATACATGTCAAAGCCAAAATTAAGATTGACATGAACAAATATAACAATGGGGTTCCAATATCTATAAGGCTGATATTTTTTTAAAAACAAAATTAGAAATGCATTTATATATAAATATGTTATGTCTTGACTAATATATAAATTTTTTCTAGGAAGGCATGATACGAATCGACTAAGTCGCAACTCGTAAGTCATGACCATCCTTAATTTTTATATTCTGGATGTAAGAAAAATACCTACTTATCATTATTAAAACCTAAAGTTAAATACATTTTTTTGCATTATGCTATATACTTTGGCTTTCAATAACTTGAATAATTTCCTAAAGTGCTAAGAAACTGAAAATACGCGCAATTAAATTATATATATATGCATATACCAAGTGTTTTATAAGTTTCTAGACAGGATCTTTTTATATATCTCCACTAGTATTAAATTTTATTATATAAAAAGATGGTACCGATTTCTAATTATTGTGTTTTTTTATATAATGTAGTAATTTATTTAGTAATTTATTTAGTAATTTATTTAGTAATTTATTTAGTGATTGAAAACAAGGTCCTATCCCTGACTTATTAAACACTCAAAAGTTCTTATACATAGTCCCTCTTTTTTTTTGAGTAACCTCACTAAATGGTGGGTAAGTCGCTCCAAATTCTGTGACATCGTGTAACCTACGAACGGGCTTAGTCGAGAGAGTCGTTTAGATTTGGCGAGTGGGGATTTATGTCTTCTTCCACTTGTCTTGAGCCTTCCGAGACTGCTTGCTAGCGCACTAATACTATCCACTATTACTACAGTCGAAACGACGGCTTGGACCTCAAACCGGAACAATAACCTCAATCATCCACGGTACGTTGGGATAGTTCCTCAGTACATCGAGAATCAACCGGACAGGGTAACGACAAACTTTATGTTTGTCACGTGAGCAAGAATACAAGAATGACGATCGTACCACTTATGCTACTTAAGCAGTAGATCGGAATGTAGGTATTTAATTATAATGCAGGGAAAGTATGTAATTATTAAGAGGCGAATCACGGAGGATAATTTTTTCTCTAGGGCAAAACGCCTTTATTATATGCATTCATTTACTTATAGCACATTACACATCTTATCCGTGATATATCACTTATAATTATCATGCTAATAGGTAAACGACCGTGAAACAAAATTGTCCGGCAGATCCTCGATTTTAATTTGCTAACGGCCATGGATCTGCAAAATTTTGGCCCGCATTACATAATTGGTTACTAATTTCTGGCCGGAATTGACCTTTTAACCTTTTCATTCTAAAAATAGTAATTTTCAAAGAAATAAACACGCACGATGGTAAAATTAGTCCAAGACAATTTTCACTTAATGACTTAATGGGTGACCGTAATTTCATTAGTAAACTTTTGAGTAATTCTGGCCAAAATTTTTGATCGTCGCTCTTAGCCAATCAAAATTAAGAATCTGACTCTCCGCATGTCTCCGGAACTACAGTTCTGCGGCTCACAATAAATAGACTATTTACATATTTGTATATTTAATCATCATGATTTCTATATACCGGGTGTTTCAAAAGTTCCACTACACGGACCCTTTTTTTAAAGTAACTTTATATATAAAGAAGATCACGATGATTATATATATATAACTGTAGAACTTTTGAAGCACTCGTTATAAGGCTGTAGTTCATCATTTGCTTGCACTATAAAACCAAACAATAAATAATTGCTCGCCCATTTTACTTTGTTTCGTCAGTCTCCGTGCGTAACAATGATTGATAATCATGATCTAATCTAATAAATGTCATCTAATTTGTAAAATAATAAATTCGGATGTGTGATTTTACTGTTGCTTAACAATAATTTTAAAACACTATGATCGAAATTTTCTAAAAGTAGCGAATTTTTGTGTAATAATCGCCTTATAATGGGAAATTTCGGAGCTGTCATATATATGTCAACTTAGTAAAACAAACACCATGTTTTTAAAAAATAAAAAGGCTTGGCGCCATCTGAGTTGGTAGTTTATTCATTACCACTCCTTCTAAATTAAATAATAATAATTTGATGGCGCACATTTAGGTTAGAAGTTGCTGCGCTTAGATTCAGATGGCCAATTTAGTTAAATGAAACCATTCAATCTCATGAATATTATTTATTCTTTATTCTGAATAATTTAGTTTGTATGTATAAAAAAAGTATCCGCTTTAAATAGTATCAGGGCACTATTAAATTGTAAGTTCTAACATTTGAAAAGAATCAAGTAGCCGAAGAAAGATCCTGTAATATAATCAACTCATATGACTAATACTCTCTTTAGTATCCTTGTATAGTAATTAATACCCTTATCCGCATGTGAATAAGAGAAAACTTCGTTTTCACTAATTCTCGACGGATCAGGATATTATTGCTTATATTGGGTTTCTTGTAAATGACCTGTGTATTGTATACAGCTACTATACGGTAAATTTTTACATAGGCTAATTCAAGTAGTATAAATATTATGTATTTTTTAAATGCTTATTCGTAACTTGCTTAGTATTCGTTGACCCAAACCTTAACTTTAACTACTATTGGCCAATACGAGGCTGTTACGAATACATTTATCTCTAAATAAGAAATCTAAGTTCATAAATATCTATTATATACAGTCAGACCTCTCTAAATGCAATGTGACGGGACCATATATAAAAATTTAGCAAAACGTGCATTTAGAGAGGTGTTGCATTTAGGGAGGTAAAAATTTATGTGTAATATAAGTTGGGCCAAGAGAAGACGTGCAATTTAGGGAGGTTTTTCATAAGGCGTGCACTTAGGGGGGTGCATTTAGGGGGGTCTGACTGTAATTACATTATATTGGCATTAATTTAGTACATGAATTTAAAATCTAACATTTAAAATGAGTCTTTCAATTAATAAAGTGCACCACCAGATGCGCTGGAAGTGAAACAAAAAAATACTCAAGTGCATCTCTAGCATTGTTAAATACATTATATAGTAAGATGCATGTGTTCAGTATCAATTTACACCATTAATTAGCATATGTCATTTGGAAATACGTTGATAAAGATTAGGGTTCGTAAACTTTTTTTGCTAAAAAAATTACTTAATAGATATACACATTTTTTTTTAATGAAAAATAAATTTAAAAAATTCAGTCGATAAGTCTTTTTTGTGTATTATACAGCTGATTTTTTATAACGAGCCTTCCAGATATAAAAACTCAAAATTTACAATATTAATAAAGCAAACCAATGTAATATCAAGTCTCGTACGAATTAATACAAGTGGAACTGGAAATTAAACAGGTTAAAACAAGAATAAATTTCAAAGTACACAGCAGCATGGTTAAAAATCCATTTATCAGTTGATCGTAGATCATATGAATACTAATTGATACCTGTTATATGATTACTTAATTAGCCAATTAAAATTATTATTGTAATTATTACAATACGAATTATTTTATTTCTTAAACAATTAAATTTAAATTTGCATATGAATAAACATCTTTTATTTTAAAATGTTTTTATATTTAAATTGTTAAAAAAAAATCCAAATTTATATAAAATTAATATGACAAATTGGTAATATCTTGCAAAAAGTCATGTGAAATTAAATTTTTTTTTATTTTTTTCTAATCAATTTTCTACAATCATTAATATAGTATAAGTAATTATAATAACAATTAACTATTTGAATTTTGTTTTTCAATTTTTTGTCAATATTAGTTTGTATGAATAAAATAACAGCATCTTTGATATCATCATTTTTTTGATTGATTTACATATAAAAATAATTTATCATTTATATTATTTTTTATCATTAAATAATTATTATAAGAAGTAATCAATTGTTTATTAGAATTATACAAATAATTTAAACAATATTAACATTAAAATTTTTGAAAAAAAAATATTCTTTATAATAAACATAACTATATATTAAGATTTGATCATAATTTAACATATTAGAGCATATAAAATAATTACAGAATTTTTTTTTGGAAGAAATTTTGTATGATATTTAGCAAAGCATCAAATAAAATTTTTGACTTGATATTAGAAAAATAATAACATGAGATAATATTGATTTTGCTTTATTTTTTTTTGATTTTACAATTATTTTTCTATATTGTATCAAAAAAATTTAATAAAAATATTGTTGTTTCTTTTACTAGGTTTTTCAAATCTTTTTTTTTATAGATGATTTTTTTTAGTAAAAACACTAAGAGATTAGGCTCTATAACTTAACAGTAAAGCTGCTAATTCTTTTACAGACTAGGTTAACAGTCAAGCTAGACTGAAAGCAAAATTTTAGCATTAACTCTATAACCTATAAGGAGCCAAATTGAATATAAAGTCCTTTGAAAAGTCACAAGGTAAAGTACAAGGATGGATTAAAAATGTTTGAAAGGAGATTGACTTTGCAGAATAAAGGTATTACATGTAACAGCAGTATTACAAAAGATTTAGCTACAATAGCATTGCACATATAAGTTTCTAAAAAATAGACAATACTAACATCTCTGTATCCAACTTATAGAGAACTTAATTAAAAGAATAATACAAGTAACTAAAACTAAAATAACTCATACAGGGGGATTCCCAAAATTCTGGATTGGAATACTTCAGATTTAGCCTAGCATTTAGTTAGTATTTAGTAATATAAGTTAACTATTTCTGAACCAAAATTATCAGCTGGGCAGATTTACTTAATGAGTGAACTATGGTTTTATTAGTAAAACTTTTAGTGATCTTAAGCAAAATTAGTTAATTCTGGCCCTGCCGATCATGATTTTGATGTATTCTGACCCAGAATTTTGAAGATCCTCCTGTATGAGTTAACTAAAATAATGAACAATGCAGTATATGCAAAAAAGATCTGTAACAAAGAATTGGTCTAACCAAAATTAGAACATATTAGACAGATACTCCTAAAATACTTAATAAATATTCTTTAAAGCAGTTGTATATCATAGCTTAGATAGTAGACATTATACCTGTATATAATAAGTCAAGATTCTAGGTTTCCTTATAACAACAAGCAGGTAGTATATCAGTATGTAGTTAGTAATACACCTACAAAAAAGACTATAAGAATCAAACTGCAGACTAAACCAACTATAGAAGTACATTCAAAAAGGATATGTAGTAAACTGCAGATTGATAATCCAGATCTTAATAAATTTAGCTATACTAACAGAGTACTAGAAAGTATATATAACTGTATATACCAAACTAAAAGCAAAAAGAACAAGAAACTGCTAAAGTTAACTAATTTAGAAGAAGGATGAGTTACTGCAGGTAGTAGACAAAGGGGCTGCTATTAAGTTAAAAAGATAAAATGAAATTTAGATATAACAAGATAATCTACAATCTTTTCTGTAGTTTAGTAACAATAATTAAAGTATATAGTAAAAATTACAAAAAAGAGTATATAAAAAAATATAGATATAATATTACATTGGATGTTTAGAACAATTGGTAATTTAGTAGCATAAATATAATCTAACTATATATAATAGTAATGCAAAAAACTAAGTAAAGTATAAGTTACAATTTGGCATTATAAAAAAAAATAAATAAAAAATAAAAACACTGTAATGAAGCTATTTTTTGAATAAAAATTGTTAATAAATAAAACATTTTGTCTGATTAATTTTGCAGTATTTATTTTGTTTATTGTATAACACTTTAATAAATTATAAAATTTTTTTATCAAATACTCATTAAAAATATTTAAATGATCTTTTAAAACATTAATAATAAAATGATTATTCAAATTTTAATAATGTACAGTATATTCAAAAGAAAATTAAAAAGAATCTTGTTATAGTTATGTTAATTAAAATATTAAATTACATACTATAATCTAAATACTGTTATAACATATTTATCTAAATAATTATCTTAAAATAAAATAGAATATACATTAAGTAATAAAGGAATTAAATTGTCTAAAATGTAATATATCTTATAACTTTAGAATATTTGAACCTTTTTATTATATATCTTTTAATAATTTACTATTTTAAATAAGCTAAATATAATAATAACTCTATTCTTTAAGGTTTCAGTATTAGAACTAATTTTTTTTTAAAAAAAATCAGTTTTATATATTAGATCAAGAAATCTTAATATACATGCATTATAGATTTTTTTGCATTTAATATAAGTTAAAAAAAATTCTAATATTGAAAGTAAACATATTATTTTTTTAAGAATTAAAAGATTATTTGTAACTAACTTGTTTCAATTGCTCTTTTTATATAAAGCTGTCTAAAAAAATTAACTAGTATTAAAATAATATATTTTTTTTAAATAATATTAAAGTTTAGATAATTTATATATGCAAAATAATGTTTAAAGGTGTGGCAACTTAGTTAAGTGGATAAGTTGTTATACTCCCAAGTAGTAGGTTGTGAGTTCAAAACCCACTAACAGCAATTTGGATAATCATCTATATAATATATAGATGGTATTATAATAACAACATTCTGTTAATCAGTTGGAATAGGATACCTGTAACTATGGTTGCACCAGCATAACTAGAATGTCTGGGGCATCTGTGCAATCTTGGTTATACAGAGAAATATAAACTAATACTGGGCAGTGCAAATCTAAAATAAGTACTTGGGCTGTATAAATCTGTAGAACTATGAAGATAGAGCTTACTTAAAAATTCTAAGCAGAAAGGTAACACAAAACTTTGATGCTACTACTATAAAGGCTAGATCTAGAAAATGAATACCAATATAGAAAAATTGAGTAGACAAGAATCTCAGATAAGGGGTACTACCAACTGGGCCATTAGATTTCATACCAAAAAAAAGGATATTAGGTTAGCCTCAATATGCCAAGAACAGGTTACAGTCCTTTCAAACTATTTGGATTAGAAGTCTAAAGTCAAAGCAGAGGTATACTAAAAGTATTAGAAATATGCTATAAGTTAGTGCTAAGGTCTGAGTAAATTCTGTAAGAATAGTTCTTGTTAGTGTTCTAAAAGTAGATAAATAGTTAACAATGAGGCCCTTTGTGTTTTACTGATAGATGATGTACTCTGAAATATGTAATGGTCTAAGAACTAGTACAAAAAGAATAGGTACCATACTGCTCAGACAGTATACTAATTAGGTATATACAAAAGGTTAGTTGGAGTTATATCATAATAGAGTGGATAATCAAAGAGTATAAATAAATAATCTTTTAATAGGTTATAAATATGGCATTTAGTGTAGAACCTTAGGCAAACTACTTAAATAGGCAACCAAAAGTTGTATGCATAACTAGTTGTAATATCTAACTCAATAAAAGTCAATAAAGTATTATTACAAAGTATAGTCTTTAATAAAAATATATATATATATATATATAATGTTTAGATTAATTTTTAACAAATAAATTTTTTTATAAAATATACTAATCTGATAAATATATTTAAAACCTTTATATATTGTTTCATATTTTAAGATCTAACTCAAGACAGTTAACTAATTTGGTTCTATCTATATTTTTAATAAAGATTAACATTATAAAAATAGATTAGCAAAATTTTTAAAAGTGTTTGTTTATCTTTATAAATATTATCTAAAGTTTATATCTAATTAGCTTTTATTATATTGTAACTTATCATTAAGATAATTATATAATTATAAAATAATATTAGTTTAAGAAGTTTTGTATTCACATTATTTAGATTATATATTAAAATATTATTAAATAAGTAAAATGAAAATTAATATAAGTTTGGTTTTTATAATGTTAAATAAAATAGTAAGCATATGTATAAGTTATTCAGTTAAAGTTATACTTGAAATTTATATATCATAAAAGTTGTAATAGTTATCAATACATCCAATTAAAAAATTTTTAACCTATTTTTTATTAGTTTATATAACTTATATATAATACAAATATTATTGTATATATAATCTCAATACTTATATTATTTTGAATATATAATTGTACAGAAGATCTAAGCTTTAATACAATCTGATTTAATGCATTAAATATAGTTTAATATATCAAACAAATTCCTATATTTGTTAGAGTATTAATACCAAATATTGACACTTCTGATCTTAACAAAAATAATTTAATGCCTATTTTTGTTTTACTAATTTGCTTGGTTTGCAAAGATGCTAATTAATAACATATCATCACAACCTTTTGCTTTAACAATTCTTGTATATATTAATTTTTATTAGCAAGATTTATAGATTGATATATAATATTAAAAAACCTATATAAAGTTGGTTTGTGACTCTCTATTAATTTAATAAATTCATTTTATATAAAATAATTGAATAATCTTCTTTCTCATAATTATAAAGAACTTTTATAATTTTTGTAATCTAATTTTCAAAATCTTTATAGAATATACAAACTCTATATTTTATTAATTATAATTAAATTTTATAATTCACAATCTAGATAACAAGAATTATTCAATAATATCTGATCATTTGGTTACTTCTTTTATACATTTGCACTTTTGATTCTAATTTTTCAAATTGTTCTTTTAATGTATTAATATCTAATGCAATGTTAATAATTTTTAGTAATGATCTACTAGTATAGTAATTCACTTTGTTTGATTTCCAGTTATATGATATAAAGTATAATTTTTTTTTTCTTATAAAAATTTTTATTATAAGCCACCAACTTATTATAATGTTTTGTACATAATTGATTACTGTTTTTTTAACTAAATTACCAAAGCATATGCACTAGAACTATTCTTAATTTTTTCAAATAACTAGTTTTTTAATGTTCTGTAAAATTTTTGTGAACTATGTTGACTATATACAACATAATAGTCCTTTAATTTTAAAAACTCTGCCTTGTGCCATTGTTAATAAAAAATGTTCAAACTAAAAAATGATCTTAAAAAACTATTTTACAATCTTTATATAAAAACATTTAAAAAACAGTTATGTGAAATTTTAGATTAAACATCTAAGTAATGTTGTACATATTTTATATCAGTATATTTTTTCTACATTTTACAATAAATATCTTTTATATATGCTGATCAGTAATAAATAAATTATGTAATATGTAGATAACAAATCATTGAGATTTTTAATTATGCTATACATTGCAAGCTTAAAAGCCACAATAATAAATAGCAAATTTATTATTTTTTAAATTAATGATCAAAAATAAAAATTTAATTAATATAATATAGTAATATCCAGAATACTATTATAAGAACCACAAAATGAATTACAAAAATTAATTATTTAATCAGATACTTATATACTTCATATTACATTAGCTGTCAGCTGACATGTCTGAGAAATTGTGCTAAATTTTCATACTTATTTAATATTAATAGATGTACTTAAATTTTATATATAAACTAGCAAATAACTTGTGGCTTTGTCACAGAAGTTTTAAAATTTAGAAGTTTAGATAGAATTTGAATGTATAATATTAAGTAAGTGGGTTTGAGGTATGAGATTTGGTGTAGTTGTATAGTTTTATATAAATAGAATATCAATAATACAAAATTGAATGTTATTTTTTTAAAAGCTTATTTGTAAAAAAAGGCAATTATTTATTTATTAGAATTTTCGTAATTTTGTTAAAATAGTATTTATATATATATGTTGTGTTCATGATATAGAAAAAAACTACTATCAGTTAAGAAAATGTTATTAATAATAAATTTCTTGTTTTTTAGGAAAGTTACACTTTATAAAGATCTAAAATTAGATATATTAAAGTTCAGATTTTTATTAAGATAAGTGAAATTATAAATTATAATTATAAAATAATTTTATTATGCTAATATTTTTTTAAATATTTAGAAATTAAAGAATTCTAATTTGATAGTTATTTGATTTATTGTTTTAAAGTGCCAGAAAAGTGTTGTGTTTATAGAATTTTGCATATGTTAGTCCAATGTTTATTTTAATAGTTATTAATTTGTATATTGCTTATTTATTTTTTTGAGTTAATACTAAAATTTGAAGCTAATATAAAGTATCAACTTTATAACAAAAAACAAATCTAATAAATTTGAATATTAGATATAACATTGTAAATAAATAAGTAATAATGTTGATAATATAATTTGTAAAAAGAAAATTTTATTTTGAATTTTAATAATCGAGATGTAAATTTTTTTTTATATTATATAGTAAAATAGTTAATAATTTAATAATAATGTAAGTATTTTTAGAGTAAAAAAAATTTTAACAGATTAAAGTTAATTATATTTATGTGTATTATGTATAAGAGCTTTAGGGTATATTATATTTGTTATTGTTATATTAACATTTACTTAAAAAAAAAAACTTTAATCAAGTATAAAAAGGTACTTTATGAAAGAGCTATATAAACTTAGCCATGTGTAAATACAGGCATGTAAAAGTTAAGACCTACATATTTTACTGATTGTTCTTGTAATTTGTTGATAGTTATCCCAAATGCAACACATACAGAATATTGTTTTCTTTTGAAGTTCAGAAGTTGAAGATGTTAGGATAATACAAGAAATAAATATAAGGTTCTTAGCATAATTGTTATATAGTATTCATGCTTTAATAATATGATTTGCTAGTCAAGTTACAACTAAGTGAATATCATTGCAGAGGCCTTCTTTAGAAGAAATATTTCTAAAAAAGTAATTAGACAACCTATCTTAAGGTTAAGTCTTAGAGGTGGCATTCTATTAGATTTAAGTATATTAAGAAATTTAGTAGGATAGATAGTATTATAGTCAGCACCTTTTTTAATTACAGCTTTATCTGCACTAATGTAAGTGCATTAGTCTTCTAAAAATATGTTAAGGATTTCTTAATTAATATACTTAACATCTTTATTTTATAAAGAAAGAATGGTTTGTTTACTAAAATATTAATTATTATATATTCCTGTTTTTAAGATATTAGGAAATATAGCATTGTAAGTAAGTTTAAGTTTTGATTTGGTATTTTCATTAATTCAAAAAGTAATATTTTATTATCTATACAATTTGTGCTGTTTCTAACTTAAAAATGATAAATTAATTAATATTTAAAATAAGTATTGATAAAATAGAAGTTATATTTACTTCTAAAAACCATTGTGTAAATTGATAGTTTCTTTTAACTCTGTACTAAAACATATATTTTTTTTTAGTAAAAGTACTTTAGTGTGCCTTCATAAATATGATTATGTGAATAATGCAACTACAATTTCTTTACAAAATCCTTTTATTATTACTGAAAGTATTTGGCTAAAATCTTTTTCAAAAATTACAATAATTCTGTTAAACAGTTGATTGTACAATCTTTAGCTTCAGAACAATAATAATGTTGAATGGCAATTTATCTTAAAAAATAAGCAAAGTTTGACATAATAGTTCAGCTTCTATTGAATTTTTGTTAATTTTACAAAATGAATTTTCATTTATATTAGAATTTTGAAGCTTGAGTAAGCAGTATAACTAAGATTAAGTAGAAGAGCTATAATATCTAAAGATACTATGCAAAAAATAATTTTTCTTAGACTTCTAATTTTAATTGCAATAGTGTTATAAACAAAGGTTTTATTAATTCTAGCATAGCTGTTGAAGAAGAATAATTAACTATCTTGTTTAACTACTGAGTCAACTATGATGTAATAAGCAGCTGCTTGCTCAGAATTCAATAATGTAATACATTTATTAATAGTGTTTTGAAGTTTTTGATAATCTTATGCTAGTTGTTCTGCAATAATATGAGATTTATTATGGTGCCTTCAGTTTTGTTTTTAGAGAAGTATTAGTAAAAAATATCAAGCAATCAATTAGATTAGTAAATGATATTGTTTAGAAGAAAGAGTCCAAAGTTAAAAGCTTGGTCATTAGCAGGTTCATGAATTTTTATAATTTTTATATAAATAATATTAAAGATCATTACGGAGATTAACACAGAAGTACAACCATAATTTTTTTGGATGAGTAAGCATATATTAAATAAGTATGATGGCAAAAAGAACTCTTAATTAAGATTTAATATGTAGAATAGCAGTTTCTTTAAGATATTGAAACTATTTTTGATCATTTTCTAGTAGTTCTAAAGCTATATATAAACTTTTAAAGATTGAGTAAATAATATTATTAATGGTTTTTAGATGTTCAAAAGATGTTGGACTATAAATAATTAAAAGAAGAAGTCAAAAGTAAAATTATTCTTTCGCAGAAGAACCAGCTAAGTACAAATAACTAATTGCAAATACATAGGTAGAAGTTTGTTTGATTGTTTAATTTTTATAGATCTACCTGTGATTTCCTATAATTATGAATCAATCAAATTGCATAATTTGTAAAAATTTTATTATTTAATCTTGTTAAGATTGAAAATAAAAAAATGCAAAGAAGTTTACAAACTAATAAATACATATAAAAGAATTTATTATATATGTTTAGAGAATAGATAAATATGTGTAGAATAATACAAATATAATATTTATTACTATGTAGTAAATCTAAAATCATTGAAGAATCTGCAATATACAATATAATCCAAAAATTTTACAATTAACAACTTCAAAACTACTAAAGAAGTAAACTAAACTTAAACATTAAATTCAAATCATTAAAGAACTAACTTGTACCTATTCAAATTAAACAAAATTTATTTAATAAAACATAATAAAGTTCTTAAATAAAAATATTTATAGTCACCTCTTGCAAGAGCTAATAGACAGAATATATTTTATTATATTTTGCCTTCTAAGCAAAGCTTATCAGAAATGAGATCTTTCTGTATAGTGAATATTGATAGTGCTTTGAAGCTACAAATAGATCTTGGAATGATTTTTATTAGTATTATAGTAAGACATTCTGTTTTAAAAAAGTACTTAAAAACTAACTTTAAGCTTTTTTCTTTATCTATTTTAAAAAAAGTCAATACTAAGCTAATGCTTCTTAAATTTTAGATTATAAAAGATTATTTTTAAAGATGCTTTTTTAGCACTTAAATGAAGTGATATATGTATAAATTTTTCTTTTTTATCAGTGAAATGTTATGTTCCCAAGAAGTACTTTAAAGTATATAAATAAGTTATCTTAATAATTGATTTGCATTAGCCAATCAAACAAACTTCTACCTATATATTGCAAATCCTTGTTTTTATGATGTCTATTGTTTAATTTTTTTGTTTAAGACAAAGTATTGTGAAAATTCTTGGTAAATGTATTGTTAGGCAGATTCAAGTTAGTGCATGCTTTACAAAAAAGTAGTTAGTATTGTTTTTTGATATTCAGCACAGAAAAGAATAATAGATAAATTATCAGCAGGATTAAATATAACTGTATGCATTTCAGGAAGGTATAATGCTAGCCTTACAATATTTGGCACTTTTTTATATATAGACATACCAAAAAGGCACCATGCTGCTTCAGCAGTGCCAATATACTTTGCATCAATATATTGTTTGATTTTATTTAGTTTATGACCAAATTGCATTATTATTCTGTTATAATCTTTATAAATATATTTATTAATATATTTAACTACATGTATAGATTTCTTCAAGATTAAATAAGCTTCCCAAAGGTGTTGTACCTCAATGGTTCACTACTCTTGAGGACATTACAACAAGCCATTCTTATGAACATACTTTATATGATCATTTTAACTTATCTCAAACAAACTACTTTTCCTATACTACTGATTACTTCACCTCTAACACCAAACCTTAGCTACTTACCATTCTTAATGATCAAATAATTATTGGCAAGGCCAGAAGGCATAATACCCCCACAGGCCTTATCCTTATTACTCACTAGCACTGCTCATATCAGTCCCAGTTATTAAACCTATATCTTACTCCCCTCTCTATTACTACATTATGTTCTGGATGTCATCTTAATTCTAACACAATTGCCAACAAATGCACTATCTTCATTCCTACAAACC